GAATGGAATTAAGGTATGGGAGATTTCTGAGCTGACATTTTGGACAAAACAAAGCTGTGTGGTTAGAACTTGTGGCCTCCATACAAGATGATCCCAGAAAGAACCTCGCTTATAATTAAAATTTCAAGGTAAAGACAATCATAAGGTGCTATTTTCTGTCTACTTCATTGACAAAGTAGGTATGCTACCTTGTCATTGAGAACTCAAGAAAATAGTCACAAATTGCTGATGGAAATGCCATATCTTTGATATGTTGATCTTCCCCCACATTTAGTAGGGAGAGCCTCAGATTCATGTTACCCTACCAATTAGGACTGCAGATAGCACTGTTGCTAACTCAGCACACTGGCACAGACCACCAGGTCAGGATATGCTGAGACCGTGCCCTAGAGTGAAGATACACCACCCAGGTCAGACCACACTGAGACCCTGCCCCAGAGTGAGGTGACACAGACCCCACCACCACCTTTGTGCAGCTCAGAAAGGTGAATTTTGGACCTTGATCTCTGCTGTGTTTCTAGCTTCATTGGCCACTGTTTTGTGGAAGCTTAAGTACTTTATACATACAAACAGAACATGTTTTTCTGGCGGTATGTTTTGCTAGACTGGTCTAGGATATGGAGCTCAGGGTGGGCTGGGAGTAGTTCATGTGTTTTTTTTTTCGTTGGTGGGTGCCAACTGGGTACTGTCTGGGATAGAATGGATTGGAACCACAGTTTACCTGAAGCTCTTTGCACTCCAGATGGAGCCAGAATTTAAATCCTCAATGGAAACCATAAAAGTACTATAAGAAATTATGCAATTCTGAAACATAAACGAAAAATTCTTAACTACACCTCATAAAATTTAGAATTCTGTTTGGCAAAACAGAGGTTCATTTCCTTAACATCTAAAGAGCTCATGATGAAAGCTCAAAAGAGAAGTGTGCAAAGCATGGTGCAAGGCAGCTCGAAGAATAGATACACCATTGGCGCAGCCTTTAAGAAGAGATGCTGACCCTCAATGGTAACAAGAAATACAAGAGCATGTTGGAGTCCGTCTTCCTCTGTCATGTGTTTGTACAGCAAGCATTCATTTGTCCATGCCTGTGTCAGGAGTGGCTGGCCACTGAAGCCTGACTGTGGGAATATGAATCCCTACAGTGGTATGGAAAGGCAGGCTGAGAACATCCTTGGTTAAAAAATGCACACACCTTGGACCCAGCAGTGTTGCCTCCAGGAGACTTTCCTATTGATTCATTTATGTATGCCAGTTATTCATTATTGTTCAGAGTAAAATGAGATCGATACAAGTCTGAATTTCCAATGGTAGGAGGTCGGTTAAATGCAGTGATTTGTTTGTTCCTTACAGTTTATACAAAGTCATCAAAAGGGTTAGGGAGCCCGTTTGTGAATCACTGAAGTAACATTAAGATATGTCACTGGGCAAAAACCAAGAGAAAATGGGTGTTTGCAACTGATTCAAGGAAAGAAGAAATAACAGCGTGTTTGTGTCTGTTTCCTGCTCACCAGCAGCCTTGGAATAAGTGGCCACACACAGTAACCTTAGTTGCCCTGGGAGCAGAGTAGGTGGGGAGCAGAACAGGAGGGAGACTGATCACAGTGCAGCTATGCTACCTATTAAGAACAAGAATGAAATATCTAGAAAGAGATCAAGTTAAAATCTTTACATACCTACAAGGCATGAGAGATTTTTTTCCACCCACAGACCCTCACTGGGAGCAGACCTAGGTGGTAGGCATGGGGCAGTGGAAAGAGCATTGACATCAGAAGTTGGTAGAAATCATGGAATGTAATTAACAGCTGTTATATTCTGTATGTTTAGCAGAACTTGGAAGCCACTGTGGCTATACTAGAGTCCTCTGGAGGGTTAGAAAGAGAAGGGAGCAGTTAGAGGTAAGGAGCAAGAGCTTGGAGGTAGGGAGAGAAAGGGGAAGAGAAAAGAGGAGGAAGAGAGGGACTGGAGAGAGCTGCTAGAGCGTGTCTGAGGAGGGCGGGGTGGTGCTGGCCTTCTGCAGGTACAGAGTTGGAGGCCTGGTGTGATGAGGGCTCTGGTCACAGCAGCTGTGGGTCGGGGTCTGTGGGACTCTTGTGATTTATTTTTGTGATGAAACAAGAGCAAAGGCCCTTGGGAGAGAGGGTGGGCTTGAGAGCATTGCTGACAGAGCAAGGGTGTTTTTCAGGCAGTCCAAGGATGGTAGAAATTATTAGTCTTCCCTTGGCATGTCCCTAGGCAGCTGTCAGCTGGCCAGGATGAGCCCAGAGGAGGAGGAAGGCCCACCATAGCTAGAGTTGGGATGTAACCAGATGACAGAGAGGAGCATCATTCTGTGGACATATGAAGAACCACGGTCTGGGAAGAGGTGGGTTGAGGACTGTGAGAGAAGTCAGTGTGTGTAATTGCAAGGCAAGGTGAATGGTAGAATCCTACAGAACAACTCAGCCACCTAGGCTGGTGAAAGCTTTTCTCCTCTTACACTTGGGACTTCCAGCCTTCTTAGGCCTGCTGTGCTTGTGGATTCTGTCTGCAGATTGGATTTCTACCCATCTTCCTTGTCCCTTTCACTCTCACGTAGGGAGACTGAAGATCCCAGGGGGCTGTTCCCACAAATACTGCACTCCTCTGTGTTGAAAAGAAGAGGATTGTTTACAGAATTGCACAGCTACTGGCCAGCTGATCTCTTTGCTTATCCAGGACAAGGGACTCAATATCTAACTTGTGCAAGGGGTAAATGTCATTGCAGAGAATCATTTACCTAGAAACCTAGAAGAATACAAAAAATTAGAACCAGAAGCTGCTACAGATTACCTGGCCACTCACCTTCATCTACAGATGAACCTACAGGCAACACTTTCCTCCCCTTACTGGATTTGACATTATTTTCATTTACAGCCTAAAAACTCAGTGGTAATCAGTGGATGATTTCCTAATAGATGAGGACTGTCTCCTGGCATATTTCCATAAAAATTCTTTTTCTTGGATGTGTTGTTATTTCCTGTTGCATGAATCATCTCTTGCTTCATGTGCATAATACCTCCGATACTCATCCTAATAATTAGGTGAACAATGACATTTTAAGTTCCATTTAATTTTCTTATTAAGAAAGATTTAACTGATACAAAGCTTCCAAAAACATTCTGTGAAAAAGAATCAAATGCTGATGTTACTTGATAGGCGATAGTATACTTAGAAGCTTGTTTCCATCTGCACTTGGTTCTAGCAGGGAATGACATAGTAATTAATCAACTGTGGCAAAGCAAATTAACTTAAGAGCTAGAATTCTGGCAACATCACTTTAAGAAATGTTTCAAGATTTTTACATTTAATATCTTTAAATTTAAATATATTGTAACCACAATTCTATCATATGTACTATTCATCTCTTAATTTTTGTCATGGTTGATTTTTTTAAAAGATTTATTTACTTGAAAGGCAGAACAACAGAGAGGGAGGGAGAGAGATGGGGAAAGATGGAAAGATCTTCCATCCACTGGTTCACTCCCTAAATGACTGCATTGGCCAAGACTGGGCTAGGCCAAAGCTAGGAGCCAGAAACTCCATCTGGATCTCCCACATGTGTGGCAGGGGTCCAAATACTTGGGCCATCTTCTGCTATTTTCCAAGGCATATTAATCGGGGGCTGGGTTGGAAGTGGAGCAGCTGGGACTCAAACCATTACCCCATTAAGGAATGCTGGTGTTGCAAGCCACTGCTTAACCTGCTGTGCCACAGTGCCAACTCATAGTTGTTGATTCTAAGAGAAAATGCTTGCTACTCTGTGAAAAACAATTGGGACATCCACTTGTATATATCACGTGTAACAGCATCAGTTTTCCAGATTTTAAATGAAAATAAGTAGATTAAAAGATTGTTAAGGATGTGGAGATGCCAGCTGCCTTTTTTTTTTTTTTAAGATTTATTTTATTTATTGGAAAGAGTTACAGAGAGAGAGGTAGAGACAGAGAGAGAATTCTTCCATCCACTGGTTCACTCCCCAGATGGTTGCCAAGGCCAGAACTGCGCTGATCCAAAGCCAGGAGCCAGGAGCTTCTTCCAGGTCTCCCACGTGGGTGCAGGGGCCCAAGGACTTGGGCGATCTTCTACTGCTTTCCCAGGCCATAGCAGAGAGCTGGATCGGAAGAGGAGTAGCTGGGACTACAACTGGTGCCCCTATGGGATGCCGGCACTTCAGGCCAGGGCTTTAACCCACTGCACTACAGTGCTGGCCCCAACCAGCTCCCTTCTAATGGCTTTTCTAGACAGTGTATACAAATAGCCAGCAAAGAGGGAACCAGGTTGCCAAGTACACAGACCAGTATGCAGCCTGGATGACCATGTCACCTGTTTGTAACAGTGGGGATCTGAGGTCAGCCTTTGTGAACAGACTTTTGCAAAATGCTTAAATTATAATTTTCTTATAGCAAGGAATATTATGCAGTCATCAAAAGCGTATACAAATTTAAATATTGTAGCATTATTTTATCATAGTAGGTTCACTTTTAAATGGTATTTATACATGTGAGGTACACAGGCACAGTCTGTATAATAATAAAGTGTGTGTGGCCTAATTGCATAAAGATGTGCGTGTGTTAGTGTGTATGATTGTGGGTGTGTACATGTTAGTACATGTAAACTAATATGTACATGGAGACAACTTCCAGAAAATGAACTTTTTCTTCTTCATACTCCTGGCTTAGTAATATTTTTACATCACCTTGTGAAACCCAAAAGTTTACATAAGAAGTAACTTAATGTGAACTTGGATAATTACAGACAGTTCCTTTTTCCTGCCTAGATATATAGCTGACTTACTTTCCTAGCAAAATGCTTGGCTTATTACGATTACTATTTATGACTATGGTTAGGCTTTATTAAACTATTTGATTTCATGTCTTCCTTGAATTGAGTTGTAGAAATGATGACCATGTAATCAGGGCAAAGAATGTCTGATTGCATTATGTAAAATATAGCAGTTTCTCATTTCCCTTTGTTTTTTACAGATAGTGACACTAAGACGCAGTCTGAAAGGCGGCTCTATACTGTGAGTCTACCCCCAGAGGGGTATTTGCCAGAGTCACACAGCTGCTTGGATTCTGAGAATATCTCCACCGAGGAGGATGTAGAAGGTAAAAAGGGGAAGAGGAAAGGTGAACAGTATACATGTAAATCATTATTTTACAGTTTTCCATCATTTTAAATTAACTTTGTCTAAATGTATAATTATAATTATAGTTATAATTATAGTTGAGCATATCTTCACATAAACAGCCATAGTATGTCTTTTTTACCTATTTTATAGCCATAGAAAATTATTATAAAAAAACTTTTTATTTATTTGAAATACAGAAAGAGAGATATTCATCTTCTGTTTGCTGGTTTACTCCTCAAATGCCCAAAAAAAGCATGGACTGGGCCAGACTGATGCTAGAAGCTACAAACTCCATCCTGGTCTCCCACATAAGTAACAGGGACCCAAGCACTTCAGCCATCCTCTGCTGCCTTCCCAGGCACGTTAGCAAGGATCTGGGTTAGAAGCAGAATGGATGGCAGCTTAACTTGCTAGTGAGTGACAAAGCTTGCCTCACACATTAAGTTTCTACTTGAAAACTGAAATGGTTGGTTGTTTTCCTCTTTAAATTGGCTATTTGGAAGCTTCTGTGAGAATTTAGAACAATCAAATAAAAATTGTCCCTGGATGGTTTTTAGCAAGTGTAAACTAAGAAACTCTATATTATAAACTTTAGCTAATGTTAGGAAAGTATAGTTTTTGGCCAGCGCCATGACTCACTTGGCTAATCCTCTGCCTGCGGCGTCGGCTTCCCGGGTTCTAGTCCAGGTTGGGGCACTGAGTACTAGTCCCGGTTGCTCCTCTTCCAGTCCAACTCTCTGCCGTGGCCCGGGAGGGGAGTGGAAGATGGCCCAAGTGCTTGGGTCCCTGCACTTGCATGGGAGACCAGGAGGAAGCACCTGACTCCTGGCTTCGAATCGGCGCAGCGCCGGCCGTAGCGGCCATTAGGGGAGTAAACTAATGGAAGGAAGACCTGTCTGTCTCTCTCACTTGTCGCTCCCCCTCTTCGTGGAGGAACGACACAGGACCCTGTGCTGTTCTTTTGTCTGCTCGGCCCTCCCCGGGTTTGCTGCTGGTTCTTCCCGGGTTGGCTACCATCCCTTCCACCTCCGTGGAAGGGCGGTTCCCCCTGGCCACTTTCCCCACTTCCGCGGGGGAGCGGCACACCGCCGGCCGGCTCTCTCGGGGGCCGCACAGGTGTTCCTTCAGATAGATGTTCCCCCTAGATGTTCCTGGTGCATGTTGTCTCTCTCCTCCTTTATAGTCCTCTTCCACCAATCCCAACTCTGCTACCACACACCGAGTACGCTGCTCTCCTCCAATCAGGAGCAGGTCCTACAGTTTATTGGTTGAACTGGAGGCAGCTGTATAGAAGCTGTTTCCTCCTCTCCCAGCGCCATATTGTGGGAGAGCAGATGCATAGAATAAGTCTTAATTCCAGTAACTTAGTCTAGTCCGAGTTGCTCCCCACACTCACTGTCTATAATTCTCTCTGTCTCTCTCTCTCATTGTCAACTCTGCCTGTCAAAAAATTTTAAAAAAGGAAGTATAGTTTTCTTGTGCATTGATCTTTTTGGCTTTTGAATTAAAGAAAAACAAACAAAAATAGGGCTGGTATTTAGCCTAGCCGTTAAGATGCCTGTGTGTCAAATCAGAGTACCTAGGTTCAATCTCTAGCTCTTGCTCCTGACTCCAGCTTCCTGCTAATGCAGACCCTGAGAGGTGATGATGTAAGTAATTGGATTGCTGACACCCAAACCAGAGACCTGGATTGAAGTGCTGGCTCCTGTCTTCAGCCCAGCATAGCCCAGTACAGCTCCAGCCATTATAAGCATTTGGGGAGTGAATCAGAAGATAGGATCTCTCTCTCTCTCTCCTTTCTGTCTCCCTCTCTGTCTCTCCCCCTCCCTTGCCTCTGTTTCTGTTGCTCAAATAAATAAGGTTTTTAAAAGTAAAATATAAATATATATATATATTTATATATAAATATAAATATAAAATAAATATAAATAAATAAATAAAATAAATATAAAATAGGGGCTGGCGCTGTGGCGTAGCAGGTAAAGCTGCCACCTGCAGTGCCGGCATCCCATATGGGTGCTGGTTCAAGTTCCAGCTGCTCTACTTCCGATCCTCCTTTCTGCTGTGGCCTGGGAAAGCAGTAAAGGATGGCCAAGTCCTTGGGCCCCTGCACCCACGTGGGAGACCCGGAAGAGGCTCCTGGCTCTTGACTTCAGATCGGCACAGCTCTAGCCATTGTGGCCAACTGGGGAGTGAACCAGTGGACAGAAGCCCCCCACCCCTCCTCTCTCCGTGTAACTCTTTCAAATAAATAAATCTTTTTAAAAAAGTAACTGTAAAATTAAAAAAATGGAGTATTATTTTCCAGCCCTGTTAAAAATCTTTGAAATGCAATTACTAGATAGATTATTTCACTAGATAATTTACCATGTTCTTATGAAATTACTTTGGTAAATGTACTTCATGTGTACTTAATGAGTTTAATAAGAAAGTGTGTGGCCTGTTGTGGACAGTTGGCACTGGTTGCTCTGCTGCTGATGCGTGAGGGCAGACCTGTGTCAGCAGCACCTCTGAGGCTTGCTGGGAGGCCCATCCAGGTGATGCTCTAACAGGGAAAGTGGAGATAGCTTTGTCAAGTCTACAGCTGTTCTCCTGCAAAAGCTTTCTTGCAGATTGTGTGCCCTGATCCCGGAGTAGTCACTTTCCTTGTTGCCTTGGTCCTGAAGCCTCCTCCTCCCTGCAGGCAGCCAGAAAGTCTTGGCACCAGCAACTGCTCTACAATTATGGGCTGGTTAGAGCCAAGCTGACCACTCTGAAAAGAAAAGGAGAATCAAGCAATTGAGATTCATTCTAAATTTACCTAGTTGTAGCTTTCATTACAGTGTTTATTACAAGTTACATTTTTAGAAGTGGTTTTGGAATTGGGAACCTTTACTGAAAATTTCGAGGGTTCTTGCTGTATTTTTAGATAAGAATTCTAAATATCAGCTGCTTATAAATGAAACAGGTAACATGGTACAGTTTTTAGTATTTATTTAGTGAAAGAAATATACAAGAAAGTGGGAGCTTTATTTTGGGGAGAAAAATGTCTAGAAACTAAGTTGAGTCCATACCAGGCAGAGAGCAGGCTGGGAGCCACGTGGAGCAAGGGTGCAGTTAGGTTCGGCCAGCGGTAGCATAGTACAGGCAGGAAAGAAGGCAGCATACCTAGAGGTGGGAAGTGGGGGACAACAAGGGAGGGGGCTCAGGCACACCAGGTCTTTCATTTACTTCCAAAGGGGAGTGGTTACATAGTCTGATTGGCAGGTAGGCTACAGGTGAGGTCAGGTAGGGGTGTGAGATCACAAAAGGGGGCAGGGCAAAGGTGTGATCTCCAGCTCAGAAATATAATCAGTTTAATTCTATCTGCCAGCCTATATCAGTTTCTTAGGCAAAAATCTTCCTGTTGGTTCATGTACTTCTCTGTTGCCCAGTTCCTGGGAGTAGTCAGTGTGGGCAGGTCTTTTTCAGAGGTTGCCATGGGAGTTACAGGAATAGGTGAGCCAAGAGCATAAGGAAACACTCAGTCCGTTGTTACTCCAAGATCTGTGTGGTACTGACCCATTTCTGATCTCCCTTACTTCCTGGAGAGCCCTTCACAGGCCATAGGGGTGACTTGCCCTACCTTCCCAGTGTGTACTTCTGGGGCAGAGGCCCAGAGGCTTCTGCCACAGAAACTGTTGGTTCACCTTAATAAGTCAGTGTGAACTGAAAATGCTGACGAGTTTTTCAGAACAGCATTATGAACAACTTATCCATCAAATCCTGGGTGGGAAGTTGGTCTTTTAACTTTCAGCTCTTACCATTCACCTCCAAATGGTTCTGTTATGGGTGAACCGGTGGTGGAGAAAATATTATTACCTCGGTTCTTTGTCTCACATGGAAGAAGAATTTCTAAGCAGACAAGCAGAGAGATTTAAAAGCAAAATTTATTAGAGTCAGAGACCTCTAGCCAGAGCAGCATGGAAGGTCCCCCAAGAGAGGAAAAAACCCAAAGAGGCCAGTGGTACTGGAGTATTTAGGCACAATTTTGGGGGAAAAAAAAAACTTAACATTCAGTTACAAGGCCGGGACAAGACCCATGAAAAGACCTGATTCACAGTGTTTTACCCTCTGGCTTGCTCATGATAAAACAAAAGCACCATCAGAAGGGTGGGATACCTAACTTGCTTTATAGTAAACTGGGAGCTCAGAAGGAATCCTCACTCCCTTGCTGTTCTCATGATAAAAGTGGAAGCTTTCAAGGAGTGGGCAGGCTGGAACTTTTGACCTTGATAAAGATTTTGCACCCTCAGTTTCCACTGGGACCTCCCTGACTGCATTAACCCATCTGACTCCTCTCAGTTCCACTGGATGTTTTACAATGTATAGATTTAAATATATTCTTTCTCATTGTAAACCCATGAGGTGGCTCGTTTGAGAGCATTTTAAAGGGTTGAGTTGGAGAAAAGGTACTAGTGTCCACTGCTTCCTTGTGTTGTTCACATCTGTTTTCCAACATGATATTCAGCAAGAGCCCTGTGTCTGAGCCCCTGTGAGGCTAGGGTGCCTTCCTGGGAATCTGAGAGAAGGAGTCTGCCACACGAAGAGGCAGGGTCCAGGATATCCTCACTTTTTCTTTTCTTCTTTTTATTTTAAAGATTTATTTATTTGAAAGGCAGAGTTAGAGAGATTGATCTTCCATCTACTGGTTCATCCTGCAGATGGCCGCAACGGCTAGTTCTGGGCCAGGTTCCTCATTTTTTCTGACTGCACCCCAGGGTCCTGTGAAAGCAGGCAGAGAGACATCAAAGGGATGAGAAGGAAGAGTTTTTAATCTGTACTTTTCAGTTTTAAGCAAAGGGAATTTGAGAGCTGAAGCTGGAACACAAGAAAAGGTCAGATTGTTACTGTTTTCAGGGAAGCACTTCCAGTCTCTGACTTTCATCTTGAATACCCAGAACTAAGGAATAAGTGCATTGGTAACTTCTAGGAAGCTGCAGGAGACAATGATTGGTTCCTTTTTCTACTTGTACATCTCTGTGCCAGCCCCAGCACCAGTTGCTCCCCAGCTTTTACTTTGGAACTCACACAGCCCTGTTCTGCAGGTGCCACAGGCCAGTCTCCACAGTCCTCATCACCCAGGATGGATGGCAGAGCTGGTATTTACAATCAAGTCTGGACTCCTTCTGGTGCTCCTGGGCCCAGAGGCCCAGCTGCTCTCCTCCAGGAAGTGCCGTCCTGAGTTTCCTCAGTCCAGGACCGCTTCCTTGGTTTCATCACTGAGTACCTGACCCAGTACGTTGTGAAAGACAGAACTCTAGGGCTTATTAAGAGTGTCAGTTTGCTGTTCAGGGCCTGTGTATCTGTGATGAAGTGATGACAGAGACCTAGGTGTCAGTCACTTTTCTGCTTCCATCCTGTCTTTGTCTCAGTCCGTGAGAATCATTGAATATAACAAAAACAGCACCTAAATTATTCTAAGCTTACAGTTTGTTAGGAGTGGGTAGCAGGGAGCTGTGGGATGAGGAAGTACTATTGTCAAGCCTAAATCTCAATGCTAAATGCACCTGTTGGATTTTGTTCTAGGCTCTGCCCCTCCTGGGTTGGTGGGTTAGACTGCTTGCAGCCAGACGTAAATAGGGACTTGTGCTCTCCCTTCTACAGGGCGTGCTCCTCTCCTCTTACTGTCATGTGTGGTGTGTGCTGCTTTCACTAGGCCAGTAAACCTTTGGCCTGATACAGATAGAACAACCCACTCTAGAGTATGACAGAAGAAAGCGTTCTTTTTGGCAGTTTTTCTGGGGAAAATGCTCGACAACCTTATTTAGCATGTTAAGTCATTTATCTGGCAGGAACACTGTTTTGCTCACTGTCTTGGCACATCCATAGGAATGCTGTTCTGTGTAATGTTACGTAATCTATTACAGTGATACTGTAAGACCTAAGATTCTCTGGTGTGACTTAAATAATAAGGAATGTCTGATCTTGTCATCAGTCAAACGCCAATCTCCTAGCATATGACAGCCACACTGGGATTCTGGGGCTCCAGGTCACTACAGTGAAAGTTCACACCCCTTCCATGGATTCCAACAGCTTTTCCCTGGGAAGCTAGATAAGAAACAAGTTGAGTTACTTAATTTTTAGAAGAAAATATCCACTATGTCTCCAACATGCCTCTTTTCCCAGGTTTTTAAATGGTACAGTGGCTGGGGTGGTGATAAGGCATGGAGGGACTCCCAGTATTTAAGAGTATGGTTCAGGGTCCGGCACTGTGGCATAGTAGGCTAAGCCTCTGTCTGTGGTGCCAGCATCCCATATGGGTGCCGGTTCATGCCCTGGCTGCTCCTCTTCTGATCCATGGTCTGCAAAGGCTGTGGAAGATTGCCCAAGTGTTTGGGCCCCTGCATGTGGGAGACCCAGAGGAAGCTTCTGGCTCCTGGCTTCGCATTGGCCCAGCTCTGACTGTTGCAGCCATTTGGGGAGTGAACCAACAGATGGGAGACCTCCCCTTCCCTTTCCCTCTCCCTCTTCCCTCTCCCCTTCCCTCTCTGTAACTCTACCTTTCAAATAAATAATGTGGTTCAAAGAATTCACTAACTATTCAGTCCACTGGGTTTTGAAAATGTTCACTTCATACCAAGTCAGATCATAGGAAAGCTACATACCTAGTTTATATTATTTCTTATGAGATAAGAGAGATATACTCAAGTTACTCACAGATATCTTTTTTGTTTTTATGAACTAGCACACTGCTTTCTATCAGGTAAGAGATATACTTATTACTTACCGATACCCTTTTTGTTCCTGTGAATTGGTGCAAGATACATTATTCACTGATGATTTTTTTTTTATTTCTGTGAACTAGTACACTGCTTTTTATCAGATAAGAGAGATGCTCATATTACTCACTGATATCCTTTTTGTTCCTATGAACTGATACACTGCTTCCTGTCAGATAGGAGGTATATTCAGATTATTCGTTGGTAATTCCATTGGCTTTGGCTGCCAGGGAACTCAACTTTTAGTCTTTTGTGGTTTTTATTCTTTGTTCTTTCCTTGATCACTCTTGATAGTTAACTTTCCCCAGGTCTTAATTGCTTGATTCATTCTTTTTAGATTCAATCCTTAAAACACAAGGGTTTTCTGGCTGCATCCATTTATGGAAGTATGCAGAGTAATCAGGGCTTGACACTGATTCTCTTGATTAGATGCCTTTTTCTGTGTTTGTGTTTGGCAGTGTAATATGAAGATGGCAAATAGGACCCTTTTTAGGAACTCTTTCTGGTCAGGGCATTTCACATGTAAGCAATGAGGTTAGCAAACTATAAAAGTTTAGTAAATTCTCTAATGAATAAGTAATAGGGCTTGGAGAGTACAACACAGGAAACTGGGAACTCAGTCTGTGAGTGTTGAAGGAGGCAAAGCAAAGGCATGGGATCTAGTTGCAAATGGAGGCAGGACTGCTTAGGGACTAACAAGACAGAGGTGTTAAGAAAACATGCTATGTTCAGGAGCGGCAGATAAAGTGTGGTCAGCATGGCTTGGGCTGAGAAGATGAATGAGCAGGTGGTAAATGATTTTGTACCAATGGTTCAAGGCTTTGGATGGAAATGTCTGGTCTGGTCCCATAACCACGTGGAGCCAGGCCCCACTGTGAGTCCCTGGAGAGTCAAGACCAGGTTTGTGTCCAGATGTGATCATTCTGGGGCAGAGCAAAAGAGAGAGATGCCTGGAGCCTGTGAAAGGTAGAGGGAATAAAGGCCTGCCTGAAGAGGCTTCCAAGGTGGAACCCACGAGACACGTTGATGTTTCATCAGCTAAGTTGAAGGGAGAGATTTCTCCCTTCTCCTTGGTGGCAGCAGCAGCTGAGGGAGGGTAAAAGAAGGACTGCAGTGTTGAGTGCTTTCCCTGAGGTGAGAGTTGAAGGTGTTAAACAGAGCTTGCCTCAGGTGAGCCTCAGTGCCTGTGCCTACCATGGCCACAGACCATGTTCTTGGGCCTCTGCACAGAGACCCTACATTTACAAATTTACACAGAAATGGGGATTCAATGTTGATGAACTCAAAAATAGGCATCTCTAGGAAAGAGAATCCTTCCTTTTCTGTGTACTTTGATCTTTGGTGGTCTTTTTTCAAAAACAAAAGTGTTTTGTTTTTCTTGGCCACAAAAATGCTTATCATTAAAAAGTCAGACATCATAGAAGACATACGGAAGTGAAACTGCTGCAGGCCACCA